TTGAGGGGGTCCCGTGAGGGGGGGCCCTGCTGGGGGGGCTGCGCGGGGTTTGGGGTCTCCTCCCCCCAATTCCCCCGACCCACGCGGGGGCGTCTGCTGACGTCACTTGGGGAGGGGCTCTGTTGCCGCCCCCTGCCCGTACCGAGCCCCCACATCGTTGTGCCCCCCCCCCGCTCTGACATCTCCCGCGCGGTTGCCATGGCAACGGGAAGCCGGGGGATGCCGCGTTGCCAAGCGCCCGCTTTGGTACCCACAGAGCTCTGGAGGGGGCACAGCCCCCCCCAGCTCCTGCCCAGCGCTCCCCCCGAGCCCCCTCCCACCCCCGGGGTGCCGAGGGCTCTGCCCCGCCCCCGTTTAACCCCCTGCACTCCCACCCTGGGGGTGCAGCAGCTTTGGGGACAGCGATGGGGACGGGGATGGGGACAGCGATGGGGACGGGATGGGGACAGGATGGGGACAGAGAGAGGGACAGGGATGTGGACAGGAATGGGGACAGGGATGGGGACAGGATAGGGACAGGATGGGGACAGGCATGGGGATGGGGACAGGAATAGGGACAGGGATGTTGTGGTGGCAGGGTCGGACCCGCCGTGCCCCGTGTCGTCCCCTCCCCGCAGCGTGGGACATCTGAGCGATGGGGAGGCGTGGCCCGTACTTGGAGAGAGCCGGGGGACACCGGAAGGGACAGGGGGGCACTGGAGGTGGCAGCACTGTCCCCACGGGGTGCTGAGGGCAGATCCCCCACCAGCCCGGGCAGAGCCAGCTCCATGGTCACAGCCTGGGGGTGGCGGCAGGGACAACTCTGGGGGTGACCCCCCTGCCCGGAGCGGTGCCAGGTCCTGGGGACCCCACGCGTGGGGGGCACACAGGACCCCACAGGGCCGGGACCCCCGCCCGACCTCCGGGGGGCACAGGGGTCCCAGGGTCCCACGGTGCCCCGAGCCCCGTGTGCCCCCCAGGCCGTGACACGCAGAGCTGGGGGGGTCACGCTGGCGTGGGGGACACCAATGGCCGTGATACCTGGCCCGGGTCCACGAGGGTGACACGGGAGTGACGAGGGTGACACGGCGGGGTCCACGGCTGCTCCCAGCGCCATCCCCGCCGTTGCCGTGGTAACGGGATGCGCAGGGATGCTGCGCCGCTGCTAAAAATGCCAGAAAAAGGGTGGATGAGCCTGCCCCGAGCCCCGCAAAGCCCCCCGAAAATCCCCAAAGCCGCCTCCACGCCCCCCCCCTCACCACGGACCCCCTCCCCACCCAGCGTTGCTGTCCCGGGAAGGGCAGGGAGGGGATTTGGGAGTGCGGGGAGCAGCGGCATGGATGGAGGGAGGGATGGATGGATGGATGGATGGATGGATGGATGGATGGATGGATGGATCGGAGGTCGGGGGTGGGTATCGGGGTGCCGGGGTGCCGGCAGCCCAGCAGGTGCCGGAGCCGGAGCCGGGGCTCATTTCACGCTGAATATGAGAGAGAAATCTCATTATTTCTGACTTAGGTATTCACATATGTCTCTCTACAACATGTCATGCCAGTTGCCAGCTTGTTACAACATCAGAAGAAGAATTCAAAGTGCTGATTTATCTGCTATTGGAAATGTCTCTAGGGATGAAAGCAGATATGGTAAGGAGGGGGAAAAGGAGAGAAGACAGGGAAAACAGCACAGTGCTGCAGCTTTCCAGAACAAAAATCTAGCCTTATCTTAGTTTTCTTGCTTAATTGCTCGTGTTCTGCTAGGTGGACAGAACGATCCTCCCCCGCCCCCAAAAGCTCCCGACCCCTCCCCTGCCCCCCCCAGCTCGGGGCTCGGGGGTTCCCCGCGATGCCCCCCGGCCGCTAACCCGGGGTGGGGGGCGAGGCGGGGGGGTGGCCCCGATCCCGGCGGCTGCCGGGGGGGTGGCTGTGTTTCGTGGGGGGGGCGGCGGCGGTTCCAACCCCTCCGGGGGCGGGCGAGCGGCGAAGGCTTCGGGGAGGCAGGGCCGGGGGTGGGACCGGAGCATCACCGGCACCGGCGGCCGCGGCGCCGCGCGGGGATCCAGGGGGGCCGGGGGGGCGCCCCGGGGGGGCCCTGCCCGCACCCATGAGCAGGACCACCGGCCTCCAGCGCAGGACCACCTACCTCATCTCGCTCACGCTGGTCAAGCTCGAGTCGGTGGGCGCCGCGGGGGAGGCGGAGGAGGCGGCGGGGGGTGGCGATGGAGCCCCTGGCCCCGGGGGGGCTGCGGCTGCCCCCCGCACCCCCGAGCCCGGCCGAGCCCGGCGGCCCGAGCGGCTCTTCCAGCGGCAGGACGCGCTCCGGATAAGTACGGCCGGTCCCGGCCCCCCCGGCCCCGACGCCCCCCGCC